CTGTTTATGTACTTTTCAAACAGAAGATGTATTTATTTCATATCAGTTTTGTAAATTACACTATTAGAAGCTCATGATTTGTACTACCAGTCTTTGAGGAGTGTATTAGAATTTGTCAAATATTTATTAAATAAGATTGTGGTTAGTTGGCTTACCTAGCAGGTGAGGTTAGGTTAGGTGTCATCACGGCTAGTTGGATTTTGGATCGTGATAACAGTCCCGAGTGGGGTTGATCTCTTGGATCCGGATAGAGGCGCCCCATGGATCCTGATAGAGGCGCCCCATGACTGCAAAAGTATTTGGAGACCGTTCAGTAATTGCGAGAAAATATTTTCTGTAGCGACCTACTCGCCCGAAAAAGTACTGCTTTTGTTGCAACCTTTTCCAATGGCCACTAATGTTTCTATATTAAAATTCTAAAAAGTACAATGTGTTACATGTTGAGGTGACATAATCGCCAGTAATACTTTTGTTTTGGAAAATAAAAAATGAGTTACACTTAGAAGAAATTAGCCCCAAATGGAAAACAATATCAAAAGTTTAGCGGGTTTGAAAAAAAAGTTTAGCGGGTTATTTTCTCGTCAAATGTTATTCCCCGTGACCACACACAGATCGAAGCTCTCAACTCCCCTTAAATAGACCAACAATTTAGCCCCTGCATTTCCATTATCATCTACAGTTCTCTTTAGTATTCAAGCTCTTAAACTTCCGACTATTATCAGGTTCACCAATCTATCCCTCTCTCTCTATCTTCATTTGTCTACGTCAGTTTTCTCGTCTTGTTCATTAATTAATCTGTCAATTTCCGGTTAAAGAATGAACATTTTTGAGATAGAGTTTCTCTAATTCATGAGATGATGTAAAAAGTTTTAGCAACTACTTTTCACTTTTAATAAATTCAAAGGTTTTGCAGAGAATTGAAGTTTATTGAGGATGTCAGGACGTGGAAAGGGAGGCAAAGGAGGATCAGAGCACACCGTAAGTTCTTCAAAATATGCTTATGTGATTGTAGCTATGGGTTTTGTGGTGGTTTAACGGTGGATAGATCAGGAAGGAGAGGGGGCGAGAAGAAGGGGGTAGGGACAGAGATAGTTTTTTGTTAAGAATAAATTTTTTATGTTAAATCTGATGTGTGAAATTAAAATAATAGGTGGAATGTTTTAATTGTTTGAGTTTTCCACGTAGGAGGCGCTTGACACCATGTCCTTTTTTTAGATTTCCTTTCTGTTTGATTCCCCTTCTATCCCTTTGTTGGAGTTATTGCTCGTGACTGGAACCCATGACCCTAGGATTGTAGGTGCGGTGTTGATCATCTGAGCAACCTCTCTTGTCCGCCATGCCCTTAAGTTGCTCGAAAGACCGAGTGTTGTGTTTAATTGGAACAATTTGGCATCGATTGAGGAGTTCTTGTAGCCTTAATTCAAAACTAAGTTGCTAAATGAAGAAATTTGGTAAGTCTGAGGGGCCGTCTATGTATTCAACCCTTTTCCCTTTGCTTTTCTTTCCATCAAGACAAATTGAACTAGGATGTTAAATTCTGTCAACTACGCCTCTATTTAACATAGTTGAGGTTGCCTGTGAATCCTTTGAACAATGATGTTCCGTCTAGAATTTTTGGTTTTGTCTCTTGATAAGGTTTTCTTAGAAATCCATCCAATGCAAAATTAATATGCTTTGTTTAGTGGTTTGTAAATACTCTTTTCATCTTGATTGAGGTGATCTACTTTCTTTAGTCTGTCTGTCTTAATTCACTCCATTTCCCCCAGTTGGTGTAGTTTCTCTTCGCAAAGAAACCAAATTATTTAAAGCAATAGAAATTGTTTCATTGCAGCTTTAGGGGGTGTTTGGTATAAAGGAAAATATTTTTAATTTTTTCATATTTGGTCGGTTTAAATATTTTGAAAAACATTTTCTTCGTGAACTCGTTTCCCTCCAATTGGACGAGAATGAAATCCCACCAAAATGAGGGAAAACATTTTCTGGAACTCTTTTCAACATTTCCTACCTTATTATCCACCCCACCCCTACCCCACAACCCCCACCCTTACCCCCACTCCCACTCCACCACCCCTTCCCCCGCCACCCCCCGCCGCCCCCACCCCTAGAATCAAACCTACTACCCTCTCTATTCTTTACCCATTTTGTCTCCCATAGTGTTTAACTAAATTATATATTTTTCAAAAAAAATATTTTCTGCTACCTAACCAAACACCAGATAATAAATAAGAAAATCTATTATTTTTCAAGAATTTTTTTTTCCGGAAAATATTTTTGTCCTACCAAACTCACCCTTAATGTAAAAAGCATATTAACAAAACTCATTTTCTGATGTTCTAATATTAATTTTGATATATTTCTACCTTTAAATAATGAAACATTCAAGAGTTGTTTTTGTCTGTCTATGTGCTAGCCAAACGTGCTACCAGATAAGATCTTTTCGGTGGTAGTTAACAGACTTCTCTTGCAGGTCAAAGCTACTGTAGAAAATGTAGATGAAGATATTCGAGAACTATCTGATGCCAATTTTGTAGGGTATTCCCTTCACTCTGGCCTCAGCTAATCTTTGTCATGTGATTATTTTTTGTCTAATTATGACTATTATGCATAATTATCTTTTTCATAGATGGTGCTATGTGAAAAGTTCATTCCTTTAGGATGGTAAATAGAAGTTAAATCAAATCCATTCTTTTTAGCAATTTATTGAGACCACGTTGGTGCAGCAGAGAGAAAAGTTAGGATAGTTCAATACAGCTGCATGAAACCTCTAATACTTTCAGAGACCTGAAAACTTGTGGGCTTGCCCGCTTTTGGTTGAAAGGGAAACTAAGGAGTTTGGAAGAAAAAAAGAAAAGGAAAATCTATCACGATCAAAAGAGTACTTAAACATAACATTTGATGATATTAATGGCTGCCTGGAGATATAAACCACTTAGAACGCTTTTCCAGTCCTGCAAGTTGAATCCATGGGATCACTCCTGCGTACATTATTATTCTCAAGGTTCTTTAATTGCATTTTTCTTTTGGTCTGCTACCACTATATTTTCCATATTAGCGGTTAAAAGGATTGGCACAGTGGAACGCAACTTTTAGATCTGGAACAGTTTAATTTTTCAATTGACGTGTGACACATGTCAAAATCTTTATATAAGTGTATACTTACCTAACAACAACAACAACAACAATAACAAACCCAGTTTGATCCCATAAATGGGGTCTGGCAAGAGTAGTGTGCACGCAGACCTTACCCCTACCTCATAGAGATAGAGAGACTGTTTCCGATGGACCCTCGGATAAGTGTATACTTACCTTATCAAAGAAAATTCTTTACGTAAGTGTAGTATTTGGGGAGGGGGAGCATCTTTGAATTGGAAAAGAATGGATTTGCAGGGTCCCAAATGAATTGATTAATTAATGTATTTTCGGTTTGACGTGAAAGATTTAGTGCAACAAATTTGCGAGATTGTAATGTCGCAAGAAAATTGTTATCTCTTTTATATCATATCATTTGATGAATAACAAGGTTCCAGAATATCGAAATGCGAAGCTCCTCATGTCATCCAACAGGTTGATGCCAAATCTTCAATTGTTTGTTTACTTTTTTTTGTCCTTTATGTTTCATGTATGAACTTTGCTGGTCGTGGTGTGGTTTTACTTTTTATCGTACTTTATGTTTCATGTATGTACTTTGCTGGTCCTGGTCAGCTTTACCCATGGATAATGTGTCTTTTTACATTTTTCATACTTTATGTTTCATATATATTCCATTTAACAGTAATCTGTAATGGACAGCACACGGGTGAAAATGTCAGAGCTGTTGCCCCTACCTTGGCTCTATGAAATGAGCCCTTGCTTTGTCAGTATGGGTGGTGCCACCATAACAACAAGAGTGTTGACTGTTTCTGAACCCTTGCATCTCCAAACTAAGGGGTGAATTGATGTATCCAAATCCAGCTGCTGGAATTGATATTATAAATGGAGGAGATTTGCTGCTGCTTTGTGTAAAGAAGCAGTGCCTAATTATTCAATTTAGGCGCATGATGACCTTGGATGATCTAACTGAAATCCCCGATTCTCTTATGCAGTTCCTGAATGACAAAAGTATCACTCTTGTTGGTCCTAAAAACATAAGCCATAAATCTACTCTCTTTTATGTATCTGAAGTTCGCAGCGAGATAAAATTGGAATGTAACAGAATCGTGGATATTTGTTATTTGGGTGCTAAGATTCTTATGAAGCCAAAGCTTCTCACTGGAACACTGGAAGATCTGATGGTTGAAGCTGGGCTTGATCATATTAAGAGACCTATCATTAATAATGGTGAAATGCGTACTAACTGGCAATCGTCTTCAGTTCTGTCGGAGGAGGAGGTGAAATACGCAATGTATGAAGTTTACTCATGCTACCTAATTGCAAGCAAGCTTTATGATGCCAATTGCAGATTCAAAGCAGCTTCCTCTCACTCCTTTGACACAATAGTGAAGGTAGCAGCTGCCTATGTGCTCGCCATTTTGGGAGGCCATACGTCTCCTTGCGCCAATGACTTGAAGGACATCTTACCCTGTGTTGGAGCTGAAGCTGATGATGATGATAGGATAGAGCTACTGCTATCACAAGTCAAGGGTAAGGCTATCACTGGGTTAATTGCTACTGCACGTGAAAAATTTGCAAAATCAGTACCCGCTGGTGGAGGTGCTATTGCCATTGCTGCTCCTGCAGGTGGTGCTTCAGCTGAATCCAAGGAGGAGAAGGTGGAAGAGTAAGGCGAGGATATGGGCTTCGTTACACTCGTCGGTTTCGGTGTGTAGAAAGAGTTTATTTATTAGGTTCTCAAAATTCTTAGCTTTGGAGATAGAGCAACATTATGTTTTGTATTTGATTAGTGAACTTAATATATCACATAGCTAGATACTGCTGTCTCAAAGCCTTCGCAATTTTTGTAGATGAAACTTTCGTATCCCTTCATCTTGCCCCCACCAAAATCTATTGAATAAAGACGTGATATCTTTATATAACCCATCTGGCATTCTGAAGCATGTTAGGGGTCGTTTGGTACGAGGTATAAGAAGGTATAGTGCTGGAATAAAAAATTAATACCACCTTAATACTTTGAAACAGCCTCTCTGCCCCCTCGGGGTAGAGGTAAGGTCTGCGTACATATTACCCTCCCCAGACCCCACTTGTGGGATTACACTGGGTTGTTGTTGTTGTTGTTGTTGTTAATACTTTGTTTGGTTAGCAAACTTGATATAAGTTATCCGAGATTAAAATTAGTACTGGGATAATTTCTACCTTGTAGAGAGGGGTAATTAGTGCCGCGATAACTTATATCTTATTCTTCTTAGAAATTATGCAACTGTCATTTTTAATACAACCTATCAAAAGTGGATAAAAAATAATACCAAGATACCCGATCATAATTAATCCAAGCATAACTTATCCCGGCATAAGCCGTATTCAAACCAAACGACCCCTTATTGTGTAGGCGGGTATAGCTGAAAGAACTGATTTCAACATCAGTTCTCAATACTTAATAAAAGACAACATCTCTTTAATCTTCTCACAAGTGCTGGCAGGCCCAAATACTTATTGTTTGTACATCATATCATGTCTATATATATATATATATATATATATNATTGATTGTTAAAACTTTCCTTGTTTAAATTATACTTTTCTACTTCAAGTTTCCTAGAAGTTGAAGATCTTTGTGAATTTACCACGCCTATTCCTAATTATGCATGTAAAAACTGATAAGAATCTTACTCTTCTACTTTAAGTTTTCTAGGTTTAATGATCTTTATAATTAATTAGGAATCGCAGAAAGTATCTACGTCTAAGTTGTAATCTTTTTTTTTTTGTAACAATTATTTTAATCATATGTAAACTAAATTAGATAAAAATAAAGTTAAATTCTAACCACGCATCTTTGTGTAAAGATCTAAAGTCGATTTAGTTTCCCCTAAAACTTAGCATTTTTTAAATCAACTAAATGCTATGTATTAAATTCTTCCTTATTTGAATGATTCGGAAAGTTTTAATAATAAATATCTTATATAATATCTTTTCGTATTTGTATTGTTATCAATTTGTAAAAGACATCGGATCAGGATCAGAAGGATCAAAAAATCGCTAATTCACACAGAAAGAGATATCAAAACTGAGAAGTTAAAGATAATCAATAGCAAAGTAACGATGTGGTTGTTGATTATAGTTGCTTTGTCAATCAAAATAATATGGCATTGTTCTAACAGTAGGTGAAATAAGTTATCCTGTAATTTTTTTAAAAAAAAAATTAAAAAAATCTACATAAACTGATATTTAAAATAAAAAAATTAGCGAATTTTCGAAAAAAACTTAAGACATATTTATCAATTTTTAAAGAGGATAACATTTTTATTTTGGAAGATTTTACAAGAAAAAAGTTCAAAACATTTTCAAAATAAAAGACACTTCGGGTGTCTTTGGTATAACGGAAAATGTTTTCCGTAGAAAATGTTTTCTTGGTAAACAAGTAGTAATCTTATTGATTTTTTGGTGTTTGTTACGCAAATTAAAGAAAATGACTTCTCAAGAGTATTCATAAATAATTTAGATATAATAAACATGAACCCATAAACTTTCAAACCAACAACCTTCCGAACCCACAAATTTCATAAACTTTCGAACCGCTAAACTTTTGAGCGCGAAATTTTGAACCCGTAAACTTTGTAATTTCTAAACCCGTAAACTTCCAAACACATAAACCTCTGAACTCATAACTTTGGAACTTGTAAAATTTTGAACCTTTAAACCGATAAATAAAAAAATTAAACTGAAAAATATATTTAAAAAATTATTTTTTTTCGA